AACCAGATGACCCCAACCTCTTTCAGTCACAAATTTTAATATCTTTACTTCTAATTCAGATAAATGGTTATTTTATCATCTACAGCAAGGAGAACAATTAGGCTTTAAGATTCCACAAATAGCTTCACACGCCCATAATGAACGATCGGCTGATTCCACCGAATCGCAACACAGATTATTCTAAAAGTGTTTTATATTATGTGTGTTTCATGCTTGAAAGGCCTCAGGTGTTTACTTACGTTATGTTGCTTTCATCTTTTCTTACCTGCGCCCTTTTGGTGAGATAAAAACAAAACTGTGCTCTCAATTTGCATTATTTATTCTCCTCTTGCCATAAACGCCAAAGAGAAAGAAAGAAAGAAAGAAAGAAAGAAAGAAAGAAAGAAAGAAAGAAAGAAAGAAAGAAAGAAAGAAAGAGGAAAACAAGACTGTATACGCAATTTGCATTATTTATTCTTCTTGCTAAGCGCCGGAGAGCAAGAAAGAAAGAAAGAAAAAAAGAAAGAAAGAGAAAGCGTTAGTCCTGTCTTCCTCTGCTCCAATGAGTCACGAGAGACGTGGGCATCCTCTATCCCGTTCCCTACTGGAACCATCTTTAATGTCTCAGTGAAGTCCCCGTTTGTTATCATAAAACCATCTCGAGCGAGCCATCCTTGTGCAACACAAAGATTCCAAATGAAGAGTGCAGGAGAAGAAACAACAACAGTAATCACAAATCAAAACCTGAAAATTGTGAGGTTGCCAATTTTAAAAGCTTGTGGACTCATAACTTCCTATTTGTTTGACTGATGGTTTATTGTTAAGAGTTGTTGAATGGGAAATCTAACAATAATAATCAACCAACAGTTGAACAGAAATACAGTTATGAGTCAACAAGCGTTCCAAATTGGTACCCTCACGATTTTCAGTTTGTGACTACCGTCGTTTTCTCCCTGTAGTCTTCAAGGGTGTCACGACGTGGTGGAATCAGACGCTCGTCAAAATACTCAAAGTGAAGAAACTTGCATTTTTCCGCAGATTTGTGAATTTTTATCGAATTTTTGTTTTGGGGCTCTGCACCTTTCATGTCAATTAAAGAACTCATTTTGTGTGAATATTTCTGAAAAACGTTGATTAAAGGCACAAAAAATATAAATTTTCAGTTATAACGGACTCTTAAGCTAAGGAAATAACTAATCTTTGGCGGGCATTTTTTCTCTAATTTTACCACTGAAAACAGGTGACCCCCACCTCATTCTTTCGCAAATATCTCGACTTGTATTCAAGACAAATGAATATTTTTTTCATCCAAATAAAGACCAGTGAAAAAGCTTTAAGATGATACCAATAACTCTACATGCCCAAAAATTGACGAGAGCCTGATTCCACCACGCTGCCTCACATTGGGTTTTTGGGTTTCATCTTAAAGCCTGTTCATTTCACTTCTGTTTGACTTCCTTTTGGGGAAAAAAATATCCATCTATGGTGAATAAAAATCGAAATATTTGCCTTTGAATGATGTCAGGATAGCCTGGTTTCAAATTTAAAATCAGCGAGACAATGGCCGCCAATATTTGATAACTTCCAAAGCCTGAGAGTCTCTGGAAACTGAATATTTACTTTTTTTGTGCATTTAATCTACGTTTTTCTGTAAAATCCACACTAAAATGTGTTTTTAATTGGGCATTAAAGGTGTTTAGCCAAAAACTGAAAATATGAAGAAAAAAATTGCCTATCGGCCTTAAAAATGTGGATTTCTTTGATTTCGTTATTTGGACGAACGCCTGATTTCCCCATGATGCCTCCCAATTGAATAAATGTGAGGCAGCGCGGTGGAATCAGGCTCTCGTCAAAATAATCAAAGTGAAGAAACTTGCATTTTTTCCACGGGTTTGGGAATTTTTATCAAATTTTTGTTTTTTGGCTGAACACCTTTCATGCCCATGAAAGAACTCATTTCTGTGCGGATTTTTCTGAAAAACGTTGATTAAAGGCATACAAAATGTAAATTTTCGGTTACCACGGACTCTTAAGCTAAGGAAATAACTAATCTTTGGCGGCCATTTTCTCACTAATTTTACCTCTGAAAACAGGTGACCCCCCTCCTACTTTTTTCGCAAATATCTCGACTTGTATTCAAGATAAATATATATTCTGTTCATCAAGATAAAGACAAAAGAACAAGCTGTAAGATGATACCAATAACTCTACATGTCCAAAAATTGACGAGAGCCTGATTCCACCAACCTGCCTCACAAATATATCTCAGATTTGTTAACGATGACTCGCTTGGTCAGGTTTATGGAGCGGAGCGAACTGTCGAATAATTTGGTTATTTCTGTCTATCACGTGACTCTCCTACTTAAAGAGCTTCATTGGCTTCCACTGAAAGCGAGAATTTGAATATAAGTTAGCCCTACTATGCTTCAAAGGTCAAAGTAACCAGTCTCCCACATACATTCAAGAATTCATTGTACCATACACACCATCACGTGAACAAAGATCCAGTGGCTCTAGATTAATTTCAACACCTCGTGTGTCACTGAAGAAATATAGTGAGAGAGCTTTTTTTTCCCTGGGCCAACAGTTTGGAACACTCTCCCTCATGATTTGAGGAGCGAAATAAAACTTGATACCTTCAAAAGGGGACTCAAAACACATCTATTTAAGAAATATTTTAATTAATGGACAGTACCTTTGCCTTTTTTATATGAATATTTTTTATTGTCTGAAAGAATATTGCTGTCAAAAAGTGCGTACATGATGAATTTGTATGGTGTTAGTATGAATGTGTTTTTAATCTCCTATGTCGTACGCTTTGGGCCCATGCTGTGGGGAAAGGCGGGATACAAATGCTCTTATTATTATTATTATTATTATTATTATTATTATTATTATTATTATTATTATTATTATTATTATTATTATTATTATTATTATTATTATTATTATTATTATTATTATTATTATTATTATTATTATTATTATTATTATTATTATTATTATTATTATTATTATTATTTTTATTATTATTAATCTCTACAGATCTCTGGAAAATTTAGGAGGTGAGGGAAACGGGGCCTCATCTTTTGTTTCCAACGGCGGAGGAAATAACAACGGCGACGACGACGACGACGACGACGACGATATCGACGATACGATCTACGAGGGACTCAACTCTATCCAGGAAGCGGTGGAAGAGCAAGTGAGACGTGGGAGTCTGTACAGTGAGAGACCCGGCGACGCCGAACGTCCGAGCGAGGGGGAGCAACTCTCTCAGAACGAAGTGGAGGGAGGAGGTGTAGCAACACCACATTTAGAGAAGAGAAAGGAGGAGGAGGAGAAAGGAGGGAGGGAGAAAAAGGAAGACCAAGGAGGAGGAGGAGGAGAAGGGGAAGGAGAAGGAGCTACAGCTTCGGAAGAGGAAGCTGTTGGATCCGGGGACACTGAGGAGTCCGAGAATTCTGGCCCAGATTCTGAACAAGGGACAGAAACCAGCGAAAATAGTGGCTCGGACGACAAATCTGGGCTTACTCAACATTCTAAAGGCAGAAAGATGGACGAACCGCCTATTGACTACAGCAGAAGGGGGAACCCTTTACCGGATTACGGCAAGAGTGAGAGGCCAAAATCTTCTCTGAAAGACAATGTGGCCACACAGCTGGACACACAGGGGGCAGGCGCCCAGAGAGACAGAAACCCTCAGCAGGAAGCAGTGCAGGGGTCAAGAATGGACACTGGTCACTCTAATCATGAGCCTGTCGCCCCAGTGGACATGTCCGACCTGTCCAAACTGACCAATCTGACGGAGAACACCATCACAGACTGTTTGGAGGCGCGCTTCAAGAAAGACATCATCTACGTAAGATTTAAAGTTATTCTACTTTAGACCTCATTCAACACATTTTAGATTGTCTCAAGAAAAACATCATCTACGTAAGATTTTAAGTTATCCTAATTTAGACCCTATTCAACATATTTTAGATTGTCTCAAGAAAAACATCATCTACATGAGATTTAACTTTATTCTTTTTAAAAACATAATCTAATACATTTTAGACTCTCTCCGGAAATACATCATTTACGTAAGATTTAACTTTATAATATTTTAGACCCCATTAAACACATTTTATATTGTCTCAAGAAAGACATCATCTACGCAAGATTTAGCTTTTTTCTTTTGTAAACCCCATTTAACACGTTTTAGACTATCTCAAGAAAGATGTGTTAAGCGTGCTGACAAAATGAGTTACTTCTCGGATTCATGCCTTAAGGAAATAGATACATCACACTTATAGGTGAAGGTTTTACAATTTATAAGTATGAAATAAAAGGTATGTTATACCTAACGAAATGTGGTATAAATAGAAACATCTACACATTTGACTCTAGTGTCAATTTTTAGCCAACATCTCCTTTTGTGGACTGCGAGAAGTAACTCATTTTATCAGCACGCCTCACATGTCATCTACGTAAGATTTAACTTTTTTCTTTTGTAAACCCCATTTAACACGTTTTAGACTATCTCAAGAAAGATGTCATTGTCATCTACGTAAGATTCACTTTCTTCTACTTTAGGCCCTCATTAACATATTCTAAGCAGTTTAAGAAAGATATAGTCCATGTGAGATTTATGTTTCTTTATTTTGTTTTAGGCTCCCATCGACATATTCTCGGTTGTTTGGGAGGCAGGCTATTATCATAAACTCACAAAGTTTGAGGGTGTTATTCCTGCCCCCCTTTCTTTTTATGTAACGTTGTCCGTCTGTTTCCCCTACCGTCTATCTGTCTATCACTACATCTCTTTTCCTCATGTCCGTTGATTTACTTTTGTGCTGCTTCCCTCTTTATCCTAACCCCTGTATATGTATACCTCTCTCCTCTTGTCCTCCTGTCCTCCTCTCCTCATCTCCTCCTCTCCTCCTCTCCTCCTCCTCTCCCCCTGTCCTTCTGTCCCTCTCCGCCTTCTTGTGTTTAAAAAGGCTTTAAAAAAGCGTTCCACCTCCAGGTACATTAGAGTAATATTTCAAGATTTTTCAACGCTCCTTTTTTTCCCTCTTGCTAATTCTTTTCCTCGTTACTTTATCTCTTGCCCCCCTTTCCACCTCCCTTTTTTTCTTTATTCTTTAAAACTGTAAC